GGCCAGGTACAGAAGGTCACCAGGGCACGCCTAGCAAGGAGCAACACTGGGAAAACAAGGACCTCGCCCCCAGGGTAACCTTTCCTCCCCTAGCACAGGGCAACCAGGTCCTGCAGTTTAGACCCACTGACCTTTCATATCGCTGGTCATTCAGTTCCAACCCTCCCCTGACCTTTTCCTCCCTGGCCTGTTGCTAGTCCTGGCCTGTTGCTAGGGCCCCTTAGAGGGGGAACAAACAAAGGGGCCAGAGAAAGCCCTTAAGCATGAAGCCCCCAGGACAATGAGGTTCTAACCTGCATCAAATACATCTGGGCCCCAGTTGTGTTTCAGCTCCAGGCCTCAGAAAAGCAGCAAAACCAGATAAACTGACAACAGGACCAGCTACGTTGACTCATGACCCCCCCTGCCTTGGCGCCGACCTGAAAGGACACACCTGGAAAGCTGATGCGTATTCTATTGGGATCCTTCTCTGAGACCTCAGGATGGAGCACCCACACCTGCTGCCATCCAGGCCAATGAGGGGGAGACTCCCTGATGCTCCCTCCGACTGACCGCCTACAGTAACAGTTTTATCTGCCCTGACNACAAAATTTTGATAACAGAATGAATCTCTATTATTGAAAAAGTAGATGTTTAAGCTCAAAAATGCCTCTCGAGCTTTAGGAGGTCCCAATTTCCAGTATTTAGAGATTGTGAGCTCCAGTATTCTATTTACTCCCTTACTTTTAAAAATATCACATACCTTCTCTGTCTTCCAGAAGAAATAATTCACTCAAACATTTGTTGGGAGCTTGCTTTGTTCTAGGCACAGAGTAAGACAAGTCTCCCACAAGAATCGCCATTTTAAAACGGTCTCCAATGCTTAAATCTCTCCCCACTCTTGGTTGTTTTGTTGATTTAATTGTTTTACTCTGGCCACCCTTCAGCTGCATTAACTATTTTTTTTCTCAATATCTTTATCATCATTATTATCACAACTTTAAGATATAATTCACATACCATACAATTCACTCATTTAAATTGTACAATTCAATAATTTTTTTTGTATATTTACAGAGCTGTGTGACCATCACCACAATCAATTTTAGAACACTTTCATCACCCCCCCCCAAAAGAGACCCTGTGCCCATTAACAGTCACTCCATTCCCCCCTGACCCCCTCAGCCCCGGGCAACTGCTACTCTACTTTCTGTCTCTGTGGACTTGCCTATTCTGGCCATTTCACATACATGGAGTTGTGGCAGGCAGTTAGACAGGTATGAGCAGAGCAAGGATGATGGGCCAGGTACAGAAGGTCACCAGGGCACGCCTAGCAAGGAGCAACACTGGGAAAACAAGGACCTCGCCCCCAGGGTAACCTTTCCTCCCCTAGCACAGGGCAACCAGGTCCTGCAGTTTAGACCCACTGACCTTTCATATCGCTGGTCATTCAGTTCCAACCCTCCCCTGACCTTTTCCTCCCTGGCCTGTTGCTAGTCCTGGCCTGTTGCTAGGGCCCCTTAGAGGGGGAACAAACAAAGGGGCCAGAGAAAGCCCTTAAGCATGAAGCCCCCAGGACAATGAGGTTCTAACCTGCATCAAATACATCTGGGCCCCAGTTGTGTTTCAGCTCCAGGCCTCAGAAAAGCAGCAAAACCAGATAAACTGACAACAGGACCAGCTACGTTGACTCATGACCCCCCCTGCCTTGGCGCCGACCTGAAAGGACACACCTGGAAAGCTGATGCGTATTCTATTGGGATCCTTCTCTGAGACCTCAGGATGGAGCACCCACACCTGCTGCCATCCAGGCCAATGAGGGGGAGACTCCCTGATGCTCCCTCCGACTGACCGCCTACAGTAACAGTTTTATCTGCCCTGACTGACCAGAGATCCAACCGGCAACCCTGGCCTACGGGGACAGCGCTCTCAGAACCAACTGAACTACCCGGCCAGGGCCAGGGCTGCACTCTTATTTTGGCTAAAGAACATTCCACGGGATGGCCAGACCACGTTTTACTCATCCACTGATCAAATAACAGACACTTGGGTGGTAATCCACTTTGGGGTCACTATGATCATACTGCTACAAACATTCACCTACAAGGGTTTTTTGGTGTGGGTATCGGTTTTCGTTTCCCTTGAGTTTATAGCTACTCATGGGATCGCTGCGTCAGGTGGTAACATTTTGAGGAGCTGCCAGGCTCTTTCCCAAACCAGCCGGACCATTTTACAGCCCCGTCGGCAACACGTTGAGGTGCCCGTTTCTCCCCGTGCACACCACCGCTTACTGCCCATCTCTCTTCATTTCAGCCCATCCTCACCGGCGTGCAGCGGTACCTCGCTGTGGTCCTGGTGTGCATTTCCCTGTGCTGGCTCAGTAACTCCTGGGGGGGCACCTGCCCGCTTGCCTTTCTAGTGAGGAACATGGCTCTGGACTCCTAGCAAGTTTTTTGTTTTGTTTTTTTAGTTTCTTTGTGCCTGGATCCTTAACACTCCCTTCCAGTGAAGCTCAGCGACTACTCCAGACGTGGTGAGCGAGCCAGAGGCTTTATTTGCATTTTTTCCAAACAAGAAAATCCGGGACTATACCGGATAAGCAGCCAGAAGCACACTATCTGAGCATCGCTTGACGCAAAAGAAAGATAAGCCGAGAAATCGGTATTTCGGCTTCAGGAAGCGGCGTGGCTTCGTGTTTCAACCCGACACAAGTCCGTGTAAGTAAGCAAGTCTATTACGAAGGAATACGACGCAGTCCTTATAAGTGACTCGGCATCTCCACGTCTCTTTCTTATTTAACTACTTAAACACTGGCTGAGCTGGAGGGGAGAGGAAGGAGTGTTGGGAAACCGACTGCGTGCCCGTCCGGTCAGGCTGGGGGAAAAAAATTTACAGCCTCACGTCTTCGGTTCAAATAAAGTCAACTCCAGGGCTCGGCCGATTCCCTCACCGGGCTAGCATTTGGTGGTTCCGCACATCGCTCCAACGAAGCCGTTTTAAAACCGCTTCCTCGCGCCCCGGGCCCCCGAGTGCGGAGACCGGGGTCAGGGCCCGGCGTGAGAGGCCCCCGCTCCGACGGTTACCACAAAAGCCTTCAAACCTACCGGCGCTTTCAAACGTCTCACGCCGCTTCCCGCCCTTCCCGCCCGGGGGAACTTGACCTAACGCCAAATCTCGGCCGCACAGGTTCCTCGGGGGACGCCGGCTCGGATTTCAGCCACAAGGCGGAGGAAACCGCCGGGAGAAAGGCTCCCGCCACGCCCAGACCCGCCCGAAGCCGCTCAGGCCCGGATGAAGCCTTGCCCCGCCCACCTCGCGGCGCCGGAGGCCCCGCCCCATTCCCAATACTTGATTGGCTCTGGTGACCGGCCCCCTGAATGTCGGCTCTGGATTGGCCGGCTTGGCCGCCGCTCGGCGCTCTTCCCCGGGGCGCGCGGCGAGCGTGGCCACGCCCCTTACGTGCGGACGCTCGGGCGCCTTCGGAGGCGCTGTGATCGCGGTCCGGGAGGGAGGAGGACGTCTGTGCGAGGAGCTGTTATGGTGTGGAGTTTGCGGCTGGAGCCGACCGAGACGCGGCGGTCGCGGCCATGAAGGTGAGGCACCGGTGGAGCAGGGCAGCCTCTCCTCGCCTCTCCTACCCGGCCGGGGCGCCTGAATGGCTTTCTTTTCTCCTCGGCGGCACCTCTCCGGAGACCTCCGCTGAGGGGCGTCCCGCCCGGCCGGCGTCTGGGTCCCTGGCCGGCCCCGGGCGGATATCCTG